CAATTGGTGATGAATGTTTTAAGGGATGTAGTGATATTGATAATATTAATATCCCCACATATATTGAGTCATTAGGAAATAAATGTTTTTACAGGTGTAAATCATTAACTTCTATTAACATACCAACTTCTGTTAATAAAATTGGAGATGAATGTTTTGATGAATGTTCATCATTAACATCAATTAATATACCTTCATCAATTAGTAAAATAGGAGATGATTGTTTTAGTGGATGTACGTCATTAAAATCAATTAATATACCATCATCTGTTAGTAAAATAGGAAATGGTTGTTTTAATGGATGTATGTCATTAACATCAATTAATATACCAACATCGATTATTGAAATGGGAAATGATTGTTTTAGTTGGTGTTTAACATTAACATCAATTAATATACCATCGTCTGTTAGTAAAATAGGAAATAGTTGCTTTTACGTATGTACATCATTAACATCAGTTACTATACCAACATCAATCAATAAAATAAGAGATTGGAGTTTTAATGGATGTATTTCATTGAAATCAATTATTGTTCCATCGTCAATTACTAAATTAGGAGATGGATGTTTTAGATATTGTTCATCATTAACATCAATTAACATCCCACCATCTGTTATTAAAATAGGAAATAGATGCTTTTGTAAATGTTCATCATTAACATCTATTATTATACCAACATCAGTTGGATATATAGACGAAAAATGTTTTTGTAAATGTACATCATTACAATTAATTAATATTCCAACAACAGTTGAGTATATAGGAAATAAATGTTTTTATAATTGTTTATCATTAACATCAATTAATATACCATCTTCAGTTGAATATATAGGAGATGATTGTTTTAGTGGATGTAAATGTGAAGAAGAACTAAAGAAGGATAAGAGAATAAGAGGGATCTACAACCAAAACGATGAAGAAAAATCTCAGAATGGTGATAAATGTGTTATTGTCTAAATAAAATAACTTCATCAATCAATTTAAATTTTTTACACAGATATAATAAATGAAAGAAGTAAAAAAAAATAATAACATCAGAAAAATAAATGATGAAAAGAAAGAATAAAATGAAATTAATTTTTATGAATAACATAACAAGATAAGAACAGATATAATATAATTAGATAATGAGAATATAACAATGAATGAATAATATAAAATAAAGAATAAATAAATAATTATTGAATTAAATCAAATAAGAAAAAGATAAAAAAATGAATAAATTAATTAGATGAATATTATATTTTCATTTTATAAGAATGAAATGATTAATTTTCAATAATTTATAATTATCAATGATATATTGATTGATAATAAACATTAAATCATTTCAAATAGAATAAATATTAATTTAATAATATTTATAAACATTATATAATGTTATTTCTTATTTTAAATTAATTTTTATTTTCATTATATTTTATATAATGATTAAATATTCTATATTTTATATAAAATATGATTATCATAAATTAATTTGATTTGTATTATTTTATTTAATTCTAAAAGTAAAATAACAATCATTTTATATATATTTATAATATAATTAAAATAAATGATAAAATATGAAATAAATAATAAATAAAAGAAATAAAATTAATCATATAAATGATAAAGAATGTTTAATATGTAATTTTAATAATAAAATACTAATAAAATAAATGATAATCAAAATTCAAACATAAAATAAATGATAATATAATTGTTAATAAATGAATTTAATTAAATTATGATATTATAATTTAAAATTGAATTATATAATATAATACAACATAATATTATTGAATTCTATGTTATTTTAATTTATTTAATTTCATAATATAATATTTAACTATCATTTCATAATGAATTAATAATATTTATTTTATTAATTTATTCATAATGTTTTATTCATTCATTAACAACAAATAAATGATAAAATGAATAATAAATAATCAAATAAATAACATAATAATCATAAATAAAAAATAATTAAATAAATATAAATAAATAACAATGATAAAACAACATATCAATATATTGAAATTAATTATTTCAAGAAATTATTATCATTCAATTTATTAAATACAAATAAAGAAATAATTAATTAACATACTTAAATATTATATAGAGAAAATTGAATTTAAATTAAAAAATGAATATTTAATTATAAAACATTTCATACAATTTTAACAATAACAACAAACAAATAAAAAGGGGGTAAATATAAATATGTAATTTTATTTTATAAATATTTCTATTTTATCATTCGATAAAATAATAAATTAAATCAATGTGATAACATGTAAGAATTAATTTATATTTAAAAATATTTGAAATAATGAATGAGTTGATTTAAATTAAGAATAAAAAACATGAAAAATATGCAAACGTAATGTCAACAAAAAAGAAAATGAATACGATAGGAAAATAAAAGAAAGAGGAATTAAGTGAGGGTAATAATTTAATGATACTAAATC